ATGTCTATAAGTTTCTGTTTTTGCAGTGTATTTGTCTTTTGTTGAGATTTTTCATTTATTCTTTACACATAAAATGTCGCCTAAAATCTTACCTAGGGCAGCAAATAGGCCTCAAGAGCCTTTGTTGTGCTGACACATAGAAACAAATTGGCAGGGCGCATTTCGCACGCGCACACACTAAAGAATTCCACGCGCTCCGCGCTCACATTATGCTGGGCCCACGTGCCTTAGCACCGCTGCTATGACTCCATCCTAGGGGAAACACTGAGTTCTGCAGGAATTATTCCTAAAACCGGAAATTAGTTAGCATTTTAGCAATTCTGGGTTCCCTTGACTTGCAGTCAATGGTTATTTGAATCAGTTTTTTGTTAAATTCATTAAATAAGGTCTGTGTTTAACACAAGCTTATAGAATGTTCTTGTTTTTGTTCTACGAAAAACAATACGTCAGTAAATACCCCACTGGTGGGCTGTTGCTAACGAGTATCTAGGGGGAGCCCCTAAAAATCATCACGCCCAACATTATCCACCTTTAGCTTAGCGGTTGTGATGTCATGTAATGCAACTGCGATTAGTTTGTTTGTAAGATTGAGCTAGCCTACTTCTTGCGATTTGCATTTAGGCTTTAGTTCAACTATAAAAAGGTGGTGTAGGTTAGGGTTAGTAAAATGAACGTTGCCACAGAAATTTTTCCGGCAATATTCTAAAATCCAATTAAAAAATCCCAATGCTTTTTGTTGAGGTAACCCTTGTGATGGTAACTTCCGTGTCAGCCTACAGATCATCACAGCACCACTATAGCAACTGGTTTTAGAACAAACTCAAACTAGCTCCCTCTTCTGGCCATCCAGCAGTTCGTGCAAATGTGACAACAGTTCTCTAACACTCACATTAACTAACACTTTACAAGAAACAACATGTTTTAACACTTATTGTAAAGAAACAAAACGGAGTTGTTTATTGATTAGCAGTCCGTTACTATCAGTATCATATCCATATGTTAGGCACACATTTAAACATGCACACTCACCCAGGCCAATGAAGGAGAAGACCCACTGCGCCACGGCAGCCGTCTGCAGTCTCCTCTGAAGGGGGATTTCCAGGGGGGCAAAATCAACCTTCATGTTGTTCATGAGAGAAGAGAGATAAAAACCGAGGCTGCAGCCGGTGGAGAAGAAGTCGAAGAAGTGAAGTGGGTGCAAAGTCTGTCCTCCTCAGCTCTCCACCATCACCTCATATTGACTGCCTTATCTCACACTCAAAATAGGGTTTGATTTGTCAATCCATGTCTTTATCTGACTTTTGACCTGCTGGAAACATGACCGTAAGCATAACTCAGAGGAAGAGGACTGCCACAGCTCAGTGGAAGAGAGAAGAGTTATATATTTTTTAACTTTTTTAACTGTCACGCTGCTAGCATGACAGTGTAATGTATTGATCTATGTACATTTCTGAAGGCAGCCCCAGCATGGTTGAGCAATAATGTCCCTGCACCTCATGCTAACAGATAGCCAGAAAGATAAGACTGTACCGCTCACATAACCTCATTGTGAATTATTTTAAATGTGTTTTAGTTAGTGTTCTTGTAGATTTGGAAAGCTCCTAAACCAGGCCTATATGTGGTGTGTGCATGACACTGTGGGTGAAAGTTTATGCTTTACCTTTGACCCGAATCCATACTTAGAAATACCCAGATGCAGCTGTTGCAATCTGTCCAGTGCTACTATTCCTATTCTATGATTGAATAAGGAAAAAGCTCACAGGAGATGTGGAGGTGTTTATTGGGGCAATAAACAGATTTATGTTAAACCATTACAATTTGCCCTTTGATTGCATCCTAATACATGTATATGTATTCGCAGATTATCTAATAACCCCCCAAACACTTGATCTCTGCAGTGTGTGATTCAAACAGTCCAGAACATCATTGGTTCTCATCTACTGAGACGACATGCACCCCAGCAGCAGCAGCCTGCTCCCCCTGCTGCCCTCTGACCAGAGACACAGACGTGTTCACTGTCACAGCACCGCAGGCGGATAATGAGACAATGGGTCCTTGGAGCAGACATGCAAAAGGCCCCAGCATCTAGAAGAACCGGACTCACACTTGAGCTGTGTGAATTATTTTATTGTTTATCTTCTCAGAACTGCTTTGTGTTTGGTCTCTTTGTTCTTGCGCAATCATATCATGGTCATTTTGTGTCTCTTTGTAGCCATTATGTGTCTCTGCTGAATTTATTTTACCCGATTTGTCTTTATTATTTTGTGTGTCTTAGTGTTATATTTGTCCCTTTTGTTGCTTTGTGTCATTTTGTTTTATTTTGATGTTTTGTGTCTTTGTGGGCGTGTCTGTCTTGTTGAATTCTTATTGTTTTTCTTTGCTTATTTTTATACTTCTTTTTACTAATTTGATGTATTTATCATTTTGGTGTTATGTCATTTTACTATCATGTGTTTTCTTTTAGTATTCATTTTGTCTCTTCGTGGTCATTTTGTATTTCATTTTTTGTAAATAATTTTGTGTTTCTTTGTGTTGTTTTTCTCGTATTTTTGTGTCTTATTTTGTTAATTTGTGGTAATTTAGTTTCATTTTGGAGTCTTTTTGTGTGTCTTTTCAGTCATGTTGTGTGTCTCTTTTTGTGTTCATTATGGTCTCCTTCTGCTCACTTTTTCTCTTTGTTGTCATTTTGTTTCTCTTTACGGCTGTTTTTCCCCTTTTCAAGCTATTGTGTGTATTCTAGCAGTTGCTTTGCATCTCTTTATAGTTGCGCTGTGATTTTTGGTGCTATTTTTGTGTTTTTTCCTGGTTTGGTACATCATTATGTCCTAGGCCTGTTCAGTAATCCATCAGTACGTCCCACCAGACAGCAGAGCAGCTTCTCTCAGGCTGTAAGTCTGTTCAGATCACCCTCCATGTTGTTCTTCTTGTGTAGCATGAAGAGGATGCACCTCACATATTTTGTGCACAGCTGTGTTGCAGAATGATAATAAATGAACCTTGTAACCTTATCAGTCAGTGAGTTAATGTTTCACCCGCACCAATGGAACAAATGCATTCAACTTTAAGAAAACATGAGTAAGATCATTATTGTTTCAAAAGAATCAGCTGTCAGACTTCATTATGAAGCCCTCTATAGATGATGTGCTTGTCTGTCAGATGTCGTAGAAATGCAGTCCCCGTCAGGGTGATTAATGAGTCGGCATTATTCATATGTTTTACTTGCTGCCCAGTCTGCAAGCAATGTCTTTGTCACAAAGGCAATTTTGCATGAGTCAGTCGATAACATTTAACAGTGTGGCCCTTTTTATGGCTTTTATTATCTTAATACACATGATGGAAATATGAGTACTATACTTTATACTTCCATGTATACTTAACAAATAAATGGCAAAGTTTTCCTTATTACTACAGATTCATCTAATATGTATTTTTTCTTGGTGTTATTTTATATTTCTTCCTGAGCTATACATTTATTTATTTTCATATTTATTTTATCAGGCAGATATATTCTCCTCTTTTCTGACCACTGATTTTCTAATTCTAGTTGTATCTAATGTTATACACATATCCACACGTTCAGAGAAACAGTAGAAAAGTGATGGCGAAACGATACGCAGTGAGCGAAGAAAAAAAACACCTAATTTACGTCAAGCTCACCATGTTCAGCAGCGTTATAGCAGAAATGAATGGTCCAATTTCAAAATAAAAGCACGGGTCAATGCCTTCAGATATGCGACGTGAAGAGAATGTGCATAGAATATAATAACATATAGCCAATATATTATAATGCTATCTTGTTGTGTGCTATTTATAATAAGACCATTTAAAAAGAACGTTATTAAAGCGTTTACAATGGGGGATAAACCGGAAGTCCATTGTTATTCTCGCTGATGGACTCATTTTCCTCGCCGGATCCTCCTGTTTCTGTGGATGCTGAGGAGGAGGGCGGGGCTGTTTTCCGTTGCAGTCCTGCCAGGGAGTGATGTAGCGGACAGAGAGGGACCGACAGCAGCGGAGAACACGGCAGTAGGCAACGGTTTTTTTTGTAGTAAAATAAATCTGTCTATTTTAGATGCAAAATGGATTTACTGATTCACCTAATCTAACGTCAAAAGGTGTCGGTGGCCTCCTTGCAGCCTGACGCAGGGACATCTCGTTTCTCTCAGCTCAGGAGACATATTTTCTTCTGTTTGGCCCCTGCACAGTGCATTGTAGTGGAGCTCCGTACAGCCCACCATGGCGTGGCCCTGTATCAGCAGGGCGTGCTGCATGGCCCGCTTCTGGAACCAGCTGGATAAGGCTGACATTGCGGTGCCTCTGGTTTTCACCAAGTACACGGACGCATCGGAGCTGCAGCACATCCAGCTGCAGCCGCCGCTGCACGCGCACCAGGCCCGGGTCACCATAGATACGCAGCCGTCTCGCACAACACCTCGCACCAAGCCAGCCGCGCGCCCCCCGCGGAGGTGCGTGTCCGAGGAGCGCGTGTGCAGCTCGGTAATGCGCGAGGACTTTAAGCACTGGAACGTGCGACCCGAACCGAGCTGTAAACCCAAGAACGAGTACCACGAGCCGGAAACACCGTTCAACAGCGTGACCCAGTACCAGAAGGACTACAAACCCTGGCCTATCCCCAAAAAGTCCGACCACCCCTGGATACCTAAGCCCGCCGCCGGGGAGCGTGCTCCGGACAGGCCCCGGCACTCCAAACACCAGGTGGAGGCGGACAGCGGGGTGGAGAAGAGCGCTATCGCCGACCAGGTGCAGGAGAAGGACTCTTGGTCTCTGCTGGAGACCAAGAAGAAGGCCAGCAAACCGGAGGGGCAGAAGAAAACGGAGGGGCAGAAGAAAGCGGAGGGGCAGAAGAAACCCGAGGGGCAGAAAACTGTGGTCCTGAAGGGGGATGGGGAGGGCCGGGGGAGGCCGGCGGATGCTGTGAACAGGCAGATCCGAGAGGAGATCACCGGGGACAGCTCCTACACGTGAGTCACCCTGTCAGTCTGTCCATGGAGGGTCACAGGGTCAACATGTGTTATACTGTATACATCCAGAGGTTTGAAGAGATACTTAGCAAAACTAAATATAAATATATAAAAAAACTCCAAGTAAAAGTCCTGCAATCAAAATCTTACTTATGCTGCGTTCACACCGGAGCGAATTCACGTCTGTCCGCATTTCTGCTTTGACTTTACATGTAATCGCGCCGCCCCCAAACATCGCATCGCGCCCGGTGGGAATGAAATACTTTAAATAATTACAAGTACTTTAAAAAATAAAACTTAAGTATCACACTTGATTGCCATTACTCTCCACCGGTGTATAAATACTTTTCACTTGTTCTCCTAATCATCCGAACAGGTCGTTATCATTTTGCATGATATAAATGCCTCTACATCAATCCTTCTGCTGTCTAGGTGAGAATGTTCACAAAACATTATTACAAAAATAGAAGAGAAACCCTCTTTAGTACTAGTAATATTTTATGTGGACCCACTCCATGAGTAAGAGAAAAACTGCAACACCCTCCACAATTTTTAAATTCAGTAACACTTTGAAATGTATAATTAATAATGTTAATGTACTGCTGCAACACCTTTCTATGACGCCCTTATGAGGCATTTGAAACACACTTGCAGTGCATTCAAAAATGAATGCACTCTTTAAAACCTCTTAGGCCCCGAGGACCGGTTCCGGGGCCGAAATCGCGTCATTTGCAGGAAACAACGTCTAAGGAACCTTAATATTTAATAAACTATGAATATTTTATATCCATATAACGGGAAAAAACTAATTTAACTGATCTTTTTCATTTTTTTCTTCAAAAAAAACACACAATGCTAACAGTGAACCTCTGAATTAGCCCCGAGCGAAAAATGCTAACCTATTACTGCACCGAAAATCCCTCCTAGCTCCCTTATTACTTATCCTAGCTGCACATCCAACACATCGTCTATGATCGTAAAGACACAGAATCTAACGGTGCCCACCTCAACACTGAAAGATACAAACTTGCGGCGTTATCAACAAAAACGTACATCAGAACAAGTGGCGCTAGGTAGCCCACAACGCTAACATGGCTTACCTTCGTCTTTGTCTGGTCTCTCTAAACTGGTCTTCAATGGCATTAAAACGATAACAACGATGATGTAGTTAATCCATAGGTTAATATCCAATGTGGCTGTGTTTCCTTTGAAATGTTCTGATAATCTATAAGCAATAAAACTGCAATTCCGTTTTAAAAAAGTAGAGCAGGCCATTCCTAGGCTCTGTAGCTTCATTGAATGCGCGAAGACGCCATCTTTTTTTTTTAACATGAGTGAGTGCGGGACGATTTCCCTTCGATTCTATTGGCTCTAACGATCAGAAAGAGTTGTTATATGTCAAAATCGAAGAAGGGGGGCCAGAGATATGGAAAATCCACCCAAATGGCCCCAGAAGAGTTTTTTTTTGTTGCCAAATCTGTCTAAAAAGGTCAAATATCACTTGTTTTGCATCAATCTTGATACAGGGTACTTATTATATGTTGTACTTTGGATTCCTAAAGCTTTTAGTATACTAACCCATCATCCAAGGTTAGTTTTCACTATAAGTACAACATATCTTTTGGACAGACACTATAATTTACAGATTTTACCATGTTCAATCTGAATTTTCTTTAAAA